CCTAGCTCACAGCAACCTCAAATTCCTGGGCTCAAGCAATCCTCCTGTCTCAGCCTCCTGAGTAGCTGGGACTACAGGCATGCGCCACTATACCTGGCTAATTTTTTCTATGTATATATTTTTTTAGTTGTCCAGATAATTTCTTTCTATTTTTAGTAGAGCTCTTGCTCAGGCTGGTCTCAAACTCCTGACCTTGAGCGATCCACCCACCTCAGCCTCCCAGAGTGCTAGGATTACAGGCGTGAGCCACCGTGCCCAGCCTTAGCTACAGTTTTAACATGAATTACAGAGTTTTTAACAATTCCCTAAAACAGCTCATACCAAAGCTTCAGGTCTGCATGTCTAGTTACAGATGTCACAGCCAAAAATATTAACTAGACATTCTGGCAAACAAAAAGTTTTTGCCTCCTTGACTCCTTAATATGTCTTACATACTTATAATAATGTTTAATCTGTAAAAGCATGATCTGAGTGTATTTTTTTTAAATAAGAAATAGTACTTTACGAGCCAGACACGATGGCTTATGCTTGTAATCCTAGCACTTTGGGAGGCCGAGGCAGGAGGATCACTTGAGGTCACAAGTTCAAGACCAGCCTGAGCAATGTAGTGAGACCCTGTGTCTTCAAAAAAATTTAAAAATTAGCCAGGCGTGGTGGTGCATGCCCCAGCTACTTGGGAGGCTGAGACAGGAGGATCACTTGAGCCCCAAGAGTTTGAGATTACAGTGAGCTGTAACACCACTGCACTCCAGCCTTGGTTACAGAGCAAAACCCTGTCTCAAAAAAAACCCCAAACAAACAAAAAAGAAACAGTACTTTAGTGATGATGAAGCTAGTTTCTTGGTTTGAGAATATTAACTCCAGTGCTCTCATGGAATGTCTAAAAAGTCATTTCTTAACGATAAATTACTTGTGGTATACACTGCCTTACTCATGCTAAACTTTCTAGATAAAGGAAGACATATTCTTTAGGAAAGAACTTCCTGTCAGCAATCAATAAATATTTAAAGATGCCCATATTATACATTTTATGAATTTCTTCAATTTCTTTGGTAATGTTAAACAGCTGTGCACTAGTTGGATGTGCCACTTGATTTTAAAGTAGATTTGTCAGAATCACAAACTGTTGATTAATATTAACTTTTAATGTGTAATTTTAAAAGAGATGTATATGGACTTAGAGCATATGAGCTATTCAATAAATATTTTTAACATCCATTATGAACAAGTTGTTTTAGATATATTGTAGTTCTCTCAGTGAACAAAATGCATCAAGATCCCTCTTCTCATAGAGTTTACATGCCAGTCTGAGAAGATAGATAATAAAGTAAACAAATACATAAATAACAATATTACTTACTAAAGGAAGGTGTAAAATATGTTGGACCATAATGATTAATAATCTGATTAAAATACATGGAGGAAATATTTTTATTTGTGATTTATTTGATAAAACAGATAAGTGGTAATCAAACTTAGATGCAGGGTATAACATTAATAAAAAATATATTCATATATTTAAAGGTGGTTCAAACAGATGAAACTGCAAGGAAACCAGACCATGTTCCTATTAGCAGTGAAGATGAGAGGAATGCTGTTTTCCAACTAGAAAAGGCTATTTTATCTAATGAAGCTACCAAAAGTAAGGGAAAACCTTTATAAAAATGTTTTGAACCAGATGGGTTTTTATTTTCACTAAACTCTATGCCCCCAAATTTGTGGGATTTAATAATAACAACAGTAGTAATAATACTGATTTCATGATTATATGAAAGTCATTGTTCATCTTTAACTGTGACTAAATTCATTTTCCCCACCATTGCCCTACCCTAGAATGTTGAAATATAATTCTCCCAAATCACATTAACTCCTTTGTTGTTCTTCTGATTGTTTTAGTCCTTCTCATAGTGAGCAGATCTAAAAACAATGAGTGAATAGCTGTTTTTAATGAATTAAAAATTCAGTTTAATGAGGTCCTCATGGAGACAGATCTTTAGACAGACCCAATTAAATCACTTTAGGATAAAGAACCATAAACAGAACTCTTTTTAGTCTCCATAATTACCAACAGAGGGAATATAAACTAACCTATATACATCCTTGCTAAAATGATCTTAAATATCAAAATATAGGAAAACTGAACTTAATTCCTTAAAAACAGAGCCGTTCAGTCATCTTTTTAGACCTGCTCCCCATCTTTTTGTTAGGTTAATCAGTGGTTCCCAAACTTCTGATATTTTATGCATGAACCAGTATTTCAGGAAAAATACTCTAAAATAATAATAATTAGAATGATTTTGGGAACCACTGATCTATAAAACTTTCAAAAAGATACATATTTTTATTTGACCAACTGACCCTATTCTTAGTTATCAGAGGGAAAATGTTTCAGAGTAGGATTTATGGAATCAATTTTTGAACAATAACCAATGTTGACTTTTATATTATTAATATAAACCATTTGATAGCAGATGTGTGGTACATACCTTTCTTATTTTACTGTTTATTACCTTTTTTAAATATAGAAACTTTTCTAATTTATTGATATTTAAACCATTTTCATATCCTTCAATAACTTCAGTTGCCTCGATTTTTCTTATATTTTTCAGTCATTTAAAAACATAAAAAGAATCTTTAAAGTAGTAATAGTAAACCCACATTACTTTTTTCCTAGTGAAACTGGCAGCTTAACCACTTCCTAGGGAAATTTTTTTTTTCTGGTTTTTGCAATCAGGTGACCTTCAGATGGCAGTGCTTTCATTTGAAAAAGATGACGATCGTAATGGACACATAGATTTCATCACAGCTGCATCAAATCTTCGTGCCAAAATGTACAACATTGAACCAGCTGACCGTTTCAAAACAAAGCGCATAGCTGGCAAAATTATACCTGCTATAGCCACATCCACTGCTGCAGTTTCTGGCTTGGTGAGTTCATTATTCTTTGAATAAAAATGTTCCTTTTTCATTGCCTCTTTCTTGTCTTTCCTATCATTACCAACCCCAACCAGTCACTCAGAGATCTTGGAGAAAGAAGGATAAATACTAGATTTTATAATTTAAAATTTGAAGTTATTTCTGAAAATAGTCATCTACATTTTGAGGTTTTCTATACATAAACATTTTAACATAAAAAATAAGCTCAAGATAGATTATAATTTTCCTTACAGGCAATAGTCCTCTCAGTCATCTTTATAACCACCATACAATGCAGATGCTCTGTTTCGTTGAATAAAATGAACTGCCTTAATCTTTTAATGATTCAGAATCTTTAGTATGGCCCTAGTCATACCATATTGTATCATTACTCTGGAGTTATTCTTAGAAGCTATGTACCTTATATTAAGCGATATTAGACTGTTGTATTTTTTTAGTTCTGGCATCTGCTTTCAAAGTAGGGAAATTATATAGTCAAATTAATATTTTTTTAATAACTGTTGACCACGTATAGAGTAGGTTGAAATTTTGAAAGTATAAAATATGCTAAAAGTGTAGAGGCTTATAAATAAGAAATATACATTATTCCAGTTCTGTAGCTGCTTTTACTATTCACAGAGAAATGCTTGAGTAGAACTTGGGGAAAATTCAGTAGATCCAATCAAACTCATGAATGAATAGTTTTAGGCTATTCAGATAATCAGATTACCTTGTTTTATCTAGGTTGCCTTGGAGATGATCAAAGTAACTGGTGGCTATCCATTTGAAGCCTATAAAAATTGTTTCCTTAACTTAGCCATTCCAATTATAGTGTTTACAGAGACATCTGAAGTAAGAAAGACTAAAATCAGGTATGTAGTAGTAGACCTTCGTCTACTACTTCTCTTGTATAATGAGAATGAAAAAAAGATTTTAACTTTTAAAAGAGAAGAAAACTGGTTTCACCTTTTTTTCTTCACTGTATATATAAATCCTTGCCGTTGCTTCGAGATCAGGTCAAATCTCATCTTCATGAAGCATTTCTGACTAAACTAGCCAAAGAACTCTTACAGAACCTGATCTACCACTCCTTTTAACATTACGGTTTCATCTGTGTCTACTTAATCCAGATGAGTTAGAAGTATTCTAGTATCTATGAATCATGAGATCTAGAATCTAATTCCACAAGTTTGTGACAAAACAAAGCAATTCCCTGGGTCTCTATTTTTCATTTTTCAGATTGGCAGCAGTCAAACCTTGAAAAAAAACCTATCTTGGCAAAGGTGTGAGAAAGCAAGCACTTTCTTACATTGCTGATGAGAGTACAAAATAGTATATCCACAATAAGGGAAATATGGCACTATATTTCAAAATTGCAGATAAATTTGCACACATTTCAAATTATATATACACAAGATTATCATTCTGGCATTGTTTATCATACCAATGAGTGGAACAACCCAAGGGTCTAGCAGTACAGACTGGAACCTCCACACAATGAAACCCATGCATCTGTTTAAAAAGAGAGAGAAAACACCCTCTCACTGAGACATACTGATTTATAATGAGATACTGTATGGATCAACAAGGTACTGATAAAAGTGGTTACCTGTATGATGTGATGGTGAAATAAGATTATGAAATATTTTAGAAGTTGTATTTTCCTTTTTTCCCCCATGTTAATTTCTGGCTAAATCACAAATAATGGACTGCTCAGTTTTTTTTTTCTTTTTTTTTTTAATTATCAGTAGAAGGAAGAAAATTTAAATGTTTCTGTTCTGAATATTTTTCTACAACAGAAATGGAATATCATTTACAATTTGGGATAGATGGACTATACATGGAAAAGAAGATTTCACTCTCTTGGATTTCATAAATGCAGTCAAAGTGAGATACTTTTATTGACTTGGTTCGTTAGCTTTGAGTATGGTTTCTGTTTAGTTTTTATCCATAACTTTATTGGAAATTAAAAACATTTTTTAGCAAAAGTTTGCTCTCT